TAGCATACCATTCTTCATTAACCATTCTATGTCCCTCAAGAGGAATAGTCGTAACATGGCCGGTTTTGGAGACAAACGTGGCCACCATTTTTTTGCAACACTCCGTGAACGAACAATTTTTGTTGGCTTTAACTCATTTTCAAACACCCAAACTCGTGACTGGTTTTTTGTTTCGGGTTCGTACGCGTATATCCAGGATTCGTCACCTAATACAATGTTGTATACAGCATTTGAGGATCCTGCGTGGAATCTTTCGAGAGTTACCAAGTAACGTGAGCCGCTTTTTGCTCTTCACAGAGCGAATGCGTTATCCATTGGGAAAACAACTTTTTTACACCTAATTGTTGATGCAAGATTATTTGTATTTGACTCATGTCAATGTCTAAAGTTGCTTGAATTTCGCGGTATGTCACATGTCGATATTCCTCAATCAGCTTACGCACAGAATCAACGTTTTTTTGTGTGACTGCAGTTTTTGGACAACCTTGACGGGGATCATCACTGAGCTTGACACGTCCACGTAGAAATTTAGCAAACCAGCGATAAATTGTGGTTTTGGATGGGGCTTCATCACCAAATGCAGAAATCATCCGGTCAACACACTGTTTTTGTGTTAAACACACTTCGAAAGTCATAATAAATCATCGCTCTTGAATTTTCTCGAGTCAATTCCATTTTCTCAACGACTAAACAAGTTTGAAAAAACCTTGTGACAAGACCGAGAATCTTTTTTGAAATAAATAAATGGTATTTGATTTTTAAAACCAAGGAGTTTTCAATTAATAAGATTTTAATATGACAGGAGCAGTGGAAATATTCCATTCCCGATACTCTTAGTGCAGCCTAGTATCTACCATCCCTGCTAAACACACAACCAAATACACAAACTCATTCACTTGCTCAACCAACTCCTCCTCTATTGTTATTTACATATTGTTTCATTTTTTTCTCTTTCAAAACCATCATTTTCGTCTTACTTGCTTTTTTATTTCCCTTTCTTTTTATGAACTGTTAATAACTGTAATCATAATTTGAAACGCCCGCAAAGACGCAAATATGACTTGACCATTGGCGTACAAAAGGTATTTGACGGTAACTTACCAATGAATTATCTATTTTGTTTACTTTTGATACCGTTTATATCTAAGAATAAGTCCGTATAGAAAAACTCTCTATTGCGGGAGGCCCACGCCCACCCGTGGACTATTACGGCCTAATGATGAAAGGCGTATTACAATGATTGAATTTTTTGACCAAACTTAGTAAAGTTATCCAATTGGTTGTTTAAATTAAAGCCATTTATTAATTTAACATTTTAATATCACTAACAGAAAAATAAACTCATCACATAATTTATTAACTGATAAATGATAATATACCAATAATGTCGAAATAAATTTTCGTAATTACATAATACGACTTACTATAGGTATTCCCGTTATTAGTCGTCGTAGTGTGCGTGCCATTTTCATATTCATAATCTAAGTGGTGAGAATGTGCGCGTTTATAAATAGGTAAGTGGTGGACGAAACGATGCGTCTTTGCGTAGTCCCAACCTTGGAAATGGACAAGTACGCACATGTTTAGATATAAAACCAAAGAAAAAATAAATAATTAGAATATTTTGTGGCAGTGAATAGTATAAACTTCCTTTTGTGAATGTTGTCGAAGCCGACTTAAGTGAACGCCATGGCAAAAGCGCTCGCTTTAATGGTATTTTTAACCGCTACTAACACCAATTTTCTATTTTGGTATTGATTGTTATTAAAAGCTACAATCATTGAATTTTTAGATTTTAGCGCTTAACAATAATCAAATTAATAATTCAAAATAATTTAAACTTTACTTTTACTTTCATTACATTTAAGATTATATGAAAATTGCTATAAAATAAAGAAATCTTGCTGTTAATAAAATACTTCAAACTAACTTTCTTAAGCTCATTTTATCGGAATTTTAGGTTCTGTTAGTGAGGACTTCAATATTAAAAGGGGAAGAACAATTAAGTATCGTCGATCACTCGAAATATCAACATAATAATGAAGTAAGTATTAAATTAGATTTATTAAATTAGACATTATATATTTTAAAAAAATATTATCCGCTCTATAAGTTTGCAGTTAATTTTTTTTTAATTTAATTTAACTTTCTTATATAATTAAATTTATATTAAATTTTATGGAATCTACGTATCCTATTCCATAAAGTTTCTTACAATTTTCGTTACATCACCAAAATACGCTATAGTAAATGTATAATTGTTCAAAATAATTTAATTCAATTTAAAACCTATGTACTAGGTTATATTCAATATGGTTCATCTAGGCTACTATCCTTACTTATGTGATTTAAAACAAAATAACGGATTGGATTATTTTATCTATATATTATTATAATCACTCGATATCTGGCAGGACGAGCTAACTTATTATGTCATAAAATTGGTCATCTTGTGTTTTAATTATTTGAGAGTAAAAGGCTATTATAAATGAAGAATGTTCTATTTTCTCTTTTTGTTTACATTGAGGGAAGCAGCACGCAATGTGTCAGTAGTGAGTGACTTTAATTATTACATACTTCGTTTCATAGCTACGATTACTTTCGATAGAATCATTATTAAATCCGTTTAGCACATATTACTTAAGTTATAAATTATTTATGTTTTTTAGCAAATAGTTTAATTAATCACAATGAACCAGATGCAAGTGCGCCAAAGTGCTTAAGCACTAAATGCAAAATGTAGTGTCACTGAAAGGTTCAAGCGTTATAGAAACCAAATAAAATACGTATGAAAACATTTATAGCCGTTATTATTCATATTGCATGCCGGAGTAGCTCAGGATGTAAGTGTAACTAATATTTCATAGTTTGCTACTAAACCAACACCTATGAAATTATTAATTGCAATTTAAATGATGATTTAACACGTACACAGAGGAGGAAAACACTGCTTGGTAAACAGCAAATTATGTGAAACTTGAAAAAATATTAAAAAAAAAACTCCAACGAAATACAATTGCCATAAAACCCCGTCGAGATTATTTTATGTCTAGGAATGGGGCGTATAATTTGCTTTGGCATATTTTTTCTTCTTATATAAGCAGGGGTGACTAAGGATGCATTACTTACTAAGTAAGTAAATACTGTGACCTATAAATAACTACCATTAATATATAAGCAACATGAATTGCAATGTCGCCTCTGAAGACTAAGTTATCAGTAAAAAAGGTGAGAGCTTCCTGACGCTTATCATACTAAACACAAGTATGCTGCTATTTTGTAAAGCGCTTTTATTCGGTGAGAGCGTTACTCTTCCCCGGTTCACTCGAATAAATCGTGGGGCATCTCAAATACCAAAGACGGTACCAAAGACTGTAAACATTCTTTCTTAGTAATATTTTTGAATGATTGACAATGTTGTAATTTAATTAAATTATTGTTTTAATTATTAACTAAGAAATAAATTACTGCATATATTCTATTAAAATATGATGTACATAAAAACTAGTATATAGGAGGAAAATTGTTATTGAGTAGTAAAATGGAGAACAGCATTATTACCTACTATTATTTTACATAAATATCATCTTTATAAATAATTTTTTATTTTCACAACCAGAAATCAGTTTAAATTCAGCAAAACTAAATATAAATAAATAGTGTTTAAATATACTCAATTACAGAAACCAACAACGCTGGTTTTAAAAAGAAAGTTTATATTGTCTTATACTTCATGTCACCATACCAATGTCGTTGAAGTTAATAGCGTAATTTGACTTCTATGAAACTTACTTGATATGCAACGGCTCTCGCTGAGTGCAGAAATATTTATCGAAAGTTGTACTCGAATTACGAAATTTCTGATACAGTGGCCGACAAGTGTTGGTGTTGGTTAACCACTTTTCTCCTAACGAACAGTTATTTATTGCGTCGTAGTTAAAGTAATTTTCAAATTAACCAATACGTAAATTTGAGTGTAACTTTACACAATAACATATAAGAAAGGTGTTGTTATATTAAATATACAGTGTATTAATTCAGACATTTATAACTTGTTTATAACTTTATACTTTGTAACTTTTTATAAAATGAACGTAGATACGAGTAAGTGGAGACTAAATTCAAGAAAGTAGTAACAGCGTACATCTGTCATTGACATTATAATGCATAACGATGTTTTCGCGCTTCCGTCGATTGGTTCTTCTTGAACTTGACGAAAAGATGACCGCGAGTTGTTGACTTTTAAAACGAACTGTTTTGAAAGTCATTGCAATTTTTTAATTTAAATTTGAAATTTATTAGTCGTGATAAAAATTCAAACGTTAAATCATAGGATAGTTAAGTAAAATATAATGTGATGACTGTATAATAAATTTAATTAAAATATTATTATAAAGTCATCACATCATATCATTTATATAGTCTTTTTGAAGCATCAACGTTCCCGGAATTCTGCAGTTTGTAATCATATCCTAGACGGCCCCACCCATTACATCAGATTTGATAGACTACAAATCCTCGCGAAAGAATACCGATTCCTACCAAAGATGATACGTGAGGCTATTGAAATTAAAAAAAATAATTTCAATAGAGAAGGAGGCTGGGTACTACCACCTGCTTGGGACCCTATAATCAATAAAATTAAAACTAAACCCAAGCATACCACTGCAAGACTTCAAGACACAATCGGTTCATTTTGCATAGATCGGAACATAAAAAATAATTAAAAAAGCTGAAGGTACTCCAGGTTTAACTATGACATCGGGACGTCAGTCGTCTCAGTCTCTCGTGACCATGAGTCCTGGAAAGCACCCGAAACGTCGGGAATTAAAAATAATTAAAATTAAACGTGATAAAATCCGTAAAAGTTTTTTTAATCAATGTGTAGTGTTCGCGTAAATATAAGAAATCATTAAGTCATCAATCAACTAACGTTCGAATGCTGAAAACGGTTAAGTGACGCATTATTAATTCCGAATAATAAGCTATAACAGGCAAACATGCAACCAATTGTCATAATAAGTTATATACTGAATAGTTACACGCGAGCTATCACTTCATACATTCTCAGAACGTTTTTTCTAATCAGAAACGTCAAGGTAATTAACGGGTATTAAAAAGTTATACTTGAGATACACTTTATAACAATTATATTCTTTTTTTCAGGGAAGTTCAGGCTATTCATTCGGTTATGGGATTTCTGATGCACAAACAGGTGACGTTAAAACTGTATGGAAGTCCAAGAAAGGTGAAACTGTTCAAGGTATAATATTATACATAAATAATTTTGAATTTCAATCAAAATCACAACAGAGGCGTGGTAACTCAGTCGGGCTCGATCCACACCGGCACCAATGATATTGTTAAATCAAATAAGTAAGTCAATTTTAAGTACTGATTTACCATGTACTCGGCGGTGAAAAAAATATCGTGAGTAAACCCTGAGAAATAAGAAAAAAATTTCGCAAACACACATTTGGGGCAGCGTAAAACCCTTCCAGAAATGAGAAGAGACCCGTGCCCAGCACTGGGACATATATAGACTGTATTACTAACTTTAACTTTAACTTAATGAATTTCAATAAATATTGTTATAAAATATGAAGAGATAATTAACAAACATCTTTACTTTAGGTCATTACAGTTTGCTTGAACCAGATGGATCTGTAGGAACTGTAGAGTATTCCGCTGGCCCCGGTAAAGAATTTACTGCAGCGGTCGATAACAAAGGAGCGGAGCCGGAATCAAGCGTTACCGCTCAACAACAAATGGAGGACAAATCTTACAGAGACTATAAAACACCATACGAATATTCTGAAGATGCAGCTTTGGGATTCTATTCTTCAAACGAGAAGAGAAATAAAAAAAGACCCTACGATTCATTTTACAAAGAATATTCTATGTTGAAAAAACCAACGTATTCCACGGATGCTGAATTCAATGGTTTTCCTAATCTTCCATCAATTAAGCATCCCCGGGATGAAACTGGTTTTGACAGCGATTCTCATAGTTACTTCGGTTTCTATCATGACCCGAATTGCAAAAATAAACATACACAACAAACCGATTTTTATAAAGCTCTGGAGGATATGAATTTTGGAAAACCAAAGTATCCTTTTCTTCACCCGGACTCATATGGTTACGATAAATATAGCGACTCGTCTAATAACGATGAAGAATATTTTCAACGTTATAAATTAAAAGGTCATAAATCGTCCAGACCGAGTGAAATGGCTTTGTATACTTCAATTACGAATAAGTACAGTCAACCTACATTATCAGACATTACCGTTTCTGAAAACTTTTACCCGGATGAAATAATGCAACGACCCAAAAAGAGAAGTAGACCGCATAAACACAAAGAAACATATTATTCGAGTGACGATCTTAGTGATTATGTATTAGTACCCAAGAGGAAGCTTAAGAGACCTCAAAAAGTATCAGATATTAATGATTATCCACCTGAAATCGATGAAGACGATTACGATAATTCTGACGAAGATGAAGACAGAAATCATAAGCCGCCTCGAGGAACTGGCCAAAAGGAAGTTGTAAAGAAAATCATTAAGAAAAAAAAGCCGTCGATTATTAATTTGTTAGACATATTAGACATTTAGTTTCAAAATACAAATTAATATAACCATTTGTACATATTGGGAAAGTTGCATATAAAATATAAAGTAAATATAAACAGTCATGCTCGTAAAATAACTTAAATAAAATCTGCATTCTAATTAGTTTGTAGCAATTTTGTTTTTTTTTTAAACATTGTGGACAATTTTTGTTTTACTTATTATTCTTGTCGAATTTATAGTAAATTCAACATACCAAAATTTTGGCATTTACATTTTACAATAAATTTTTTAATATAATATAATAAAAAAGTGTTTCATTTCCATCTCATAAATATAAATACATATAACAAAATCAATGAAACACAGTGCCCAAATTTATATTGCCGTAGGTAATGTTACCTCTCTAGATTAACTAATTATTGAATATAAATATATTATTTTCTTTGACAACCATGTAGCTTAACGGTCAGAATACCTGGCTGTTAGTATTAAAAAGTAAGTAAATGTCCTCCAGGCTAAATTACGGTCACAGCGGCCAGTCTTATCAGAGATGTGCAACCACAGGTGCACTGTCTATTGCCCGACTCTTAGTCCTAAGGGCCGGCAAACCGACACGGTCGTAGAAAGATCAGGCGCAGCACCAACGGCTTTACAAATGTTTTTTGTAGCACGGGGGTGAAACACCGTCACTTTTCTGACTCCGAGCTGCTATAACCTAATAACTTATTGTTTTTGGCTCGACCGGGGATTCAAACCCAAAACCTCACAATATGCAGTTGCGTTTACGACTACTATACCAACGAGGCTGTTAATAAGTAAATCGGAGTAGAAGCTAAAATATAGATGCAATTATTCAATTTGTCAGCCAGCACATTTGGCAGGCAAGTGGTCAAGTTTAGAACTATTACTCACGCGTTAGTAGTGTTGGATCAGTTTTCACCATAAGTCGGCCACCTGTGCCTCATTCATCCATCATAGGCAAGTTTTCCATATTTTCCATTCGCTCCCATAATAGTTTCTACAGAATATTATGGTAATTTGTCACCCACACCTATAAAAAAATATCTTAAAGAAAGTTTTATAAATGTGAATGTTTTTGAAAATCTAAGTTACGTAAGTAACGTCAAATAAAACTCTTTTACGTCTAATTTAACAATGTAGATCAATGAAATTATCAATAAATGTCATAATTTACACATTTTTCTTGTAACATTGACATAGCAGTAGCACTTGCTCGATTACGTAACCAATCTCACAATGATAGTGAAAGTACTTTACATCAGAAACTGGAGCAAATGGGAGTGTCGGCTACGAACTTAACAAGGACGCGTGAGCTATTTCATACTGCTTTTTAAGTGCTTTTTTAAGCGAGCTCGTTTTTATTTAGGCGATTTTAGCAAGAAACTTTTATTTAAATATTTAATTAAAACGTAAACTTACCGATAACTTAAGAGTAAGACTTTCGTAAAATTGGATAACATTAAATTTTACATTTACTTGTGTTTTTCTACATAGTATAAAACAAAGTCGCTTCCCGCCGTCTGTACGTTTAGATATTTTAAACTACGCAACGGATTTTGATACAGTTTTCATCAATAGATAGAATAATTCAAGAGGAAAGTTTATATGTATATAACATGCATATTATGTTGTTGAGATTCAAAAATCATCCGTGCGAAGCTGGGGCGAATCGCTAATAATCTAATAAAAATAAAAATGATTAAATTTAATTGAATGTACTATATCTTTTTCTATACTAGTAGTTAGGTTAAATAGAAAGGCGCGAGGCGCGATGAACTAGTGAGTAGAATACAATATGTATTTACTTTTAGTTTCAACGGATACGGAACCTGGTTTTAAAAGCAATAAATATAAAATTCCAAGCTCGATATCAAAATTATTGTTACAAATTTCTTAAAAAAGTTTCATTATATAACATGTAATTCTATTTTAAAAGAATTACACATATACGTGTATAATAATTTTATTGAAAATTGCCCAAATTATGATACTCGTAAGTTGCTGCTAGTCCTAGTATACTGACTTTCTAACCCTTCCCGTGAAAGCCACGATAGCCCAGGATAGAAGGGTCCGCCTTAGCATATGAGTGACCCTAGTCCGATCTCACTCACACCGAAGTTGTTTATTGCATTTTTAAGTTCTACTTTACCACAGGCTAAGCAGCAAAGAGAAATATTGTTAGGAAAGAGTATTAAATTTAAGATCTTTAAAGGCAGCGGAAGATTCTTCATGCATGCATGTGTGAAGGAGTGAGACGTATACGGGTGTTTACTGTTACAGCCTATCAAAATTCAGTCAGTCAGTTATTTGATATAGATACCACGCGTGGCAGATCGGTTAGTAACCGCAGTTTTAACTTCCCAATGGGAAGTTATTGTAATGGCTCCGATTTTGGAAATTGGAAGTTTCAAGGTCTTTAGAGTCGAATACCAAGGTTTTTAAGAGGATGTACGTACATACGTACATGTGCACATGTTCGTATGTATGTATCTTAGGATTCAATTTTCGCCTCGTGTATCTCGAGAACAAATAGTGATATTGACATGGGACCTTCATTTAACGCATAATTATGTAACTTAGACCTCATTAAATTTTGAATGAAATCGGTCAAGTCGTTTTTTGTGACGAATGAAAAATTGTATAAGATATTAAAACATATGATATTTTTTTATTCTTTCCACTAGGAATTTAATTGTGTGGACTTTTCGTCTCGCACCTAGACCACTATTTTTTCTTTATTTGTATGCTGCTGCCCATCTCCTAATTAAATTGCTTCTGTCACCTCTTACGACACCCACGGGATGATATGATGTAGTGCATATACTTACACCACACCTGCATGGTCATAAACGGCTACACGGTTATTTTATTTAAAAAGGCACTGACATACATTTTTTATTTATTACAGATCTCGGATAGGAGCTTAATTAAAAATTATTCCCTTTTTAAATTTAAGCGGCACCACTACCCGAGTTAGTAGTCATATTAATGCAATACGTATTTATAATTCCTCTATTACAACTATTTAAACACTTTCTATTTCAGCAAAAATAAAAAAAACAAAAACACAAAAAGCAATTAATAAAGTTTTTTTTTTTGTTTTTAGGTTCAAATTCACAGACACCTTGATTAGAGCTAGAAGCAAAGAATTAATAATTATACAATAACTTAGTATATTCAACCGTGTTGTAGTTCTGCCTTCCTTTTAAAAGATGAAAAAATTCGTATTTTGTCCTAGTTACTAACCGTCTTTAGGACAGATGGCAAATCGATAATATTAGAGGAGTACTTATTTAAATATAATTTATATTTAAAAAAATCGATTTAGTTGTTTACTTACAGTGATAATAAATATTATCACAAAAATATTTTTGCATATAATACTGAAGTAAAATATCTTCAGAGGTACAATATTACATATTATGTTATCGTTTTGGTCGAGGCTCAAAACGGACAATGTTATAAAAGACATCGCGTTACATTCTACCCTTATTGACATTGTATAGTGATTCGTCGCTTTAAAAGTACTTAGTGACAATAAAAGAGATTTAAACGTCTGTTTAATTCAGGCGCGTTTATCTTCTGTATTCTAAATTAAAAAAAAAAACTGACGGGAGCGTTATTGATGGTATTGCTATAGATACCTCTTTCTAATTAGAATGTATAGTATTGAGAGCAATAAGAAGACTGAAAAAAGCGCGACTTAGTGCAATCTTGCTGATGTTATTGACGTCAGTCAAAACGTAACAAAATAGTGGTCTCGCAAAGTGCTGAGAATATGTGGGTTACAAGTGGTAAAATTAAAAAAAAAAATTAAAACCGACATCATCAATGTAGTTGAAGTCAATTAAATACGCATTATCAAGGATAACTCAAAAACTGCTAGTCAGATCTTAATCAAATTTATATAGGACTACAAAAAAAGCGTCAGTTTTCAAATAAAAAAGTTCACCCGGAAAAAAATTCTAGCCTAACTTAAAAAAATAAATAAAAATCGAATTGAGTATCTCTTCCTTTTTGGAAGTCGGTTAATGATCGCAAAACAAGATTTATTTTTACAAATTATGGAAAGATGACTAACATTACGGCTTGGCACCACACATCAGGACCTGTGATATTTAAACTGTGAGGCTGCTCGAAGTCAACCTTCATGCTTGTAGATCATTTCCGATTCCAGCACTACGGCGAAGCAAATGAGTCATGATTTTTCGCTTATGGATGATAATGCCCGCCAGGGTCTGCCTCAAATTGTTCTATATTGTGACGTTCCTAGAGTAGTTTGCCCGGTCCCTTAATTTAAATCCATTTGAGCTCGGGAGGTGTATTTCACAAAAATAATAATCGTTGTAGATACCAGTATCCGAGGTGTACTTTTTATTTAAAAAAATTTAAGGTATCACCAATTTTTTATCACCAGTAACCAAAACAGAAACATCTAGTAGAAGGTCTACTTTTTATTTTTATTATAAAAGCCAATAATATTTTTTTAATTACATGATTCTTATTATTTTCGTTTGAGTATAAAATACCGCCAAAAACTAACCACGCTTACCTGAACAAAACTTGTTTTCATATATGATTCATACTAGGTGTCGCTTCTAATTGATATTTTAGTAACCGTTGGTGCTGGAGTCAATGCACCTCTTGTCTATAACACAGTCTGTAACAGTTGTCTATAACTGCAGTCTATAACACCTCTACTCGGGGTTAAAACACATCTTATTTGAGGACAGATGTAGATTGTTAGGATTATATAAAGCATTGTTTTACTTTACTATCAGATGGACTGTGTGCTGGTTTGTCACACATACTTGCCTAACAATATTAATGAAATACACTTTTTCAAAACCTTCTGTGTTCAATATTTCTCAACTGACATAGTTTTGCTAACAATATACTCTTAATTTAGTCTAAATTTTTAGCTGTCAAAGCTTGCAACATACTGAGACACGACACGACTACCACAAGGGCGTACGAAGTAATCAAAAGTGAACACTAACGGCCCACAAGCTGTTATCGCT